GATGTGGTAACAGGTACATATTGTGTAAACAAATATAAGTATAACTAGACACGATCTCGTTGCGAGCAACGAGTGGGTCTTCCATGTCCGACTTTTGATGAGATGGCATCAGATTTTAATTGAGATTTTCATTCAGAAATAATGATAAAGATTGTTAAAAAGAACGATTTTGCCCCAATAAATCGTAAAAAGATATTGAACATTAAAGACATAAATTCGACTTTTGATCCCTAATATGAGGGATCAGCCCTTTTCTCTTCATATTATCTTAAAGCTCTCAGGATTTTGAACACTTTTTGTTCAACAACTATTCAGATATTTTTTTTCGTTTCCAAGATATTTGCAAAAGATATATTTTAGGGGCCGACCCTTAACTCCTTAATGCGGACGTTTATAAAAAAACGAATGGTTGCATATTGTCCAGAACATTATTTTGAACATCTTTTGTTCAATAATACTTAAGAAACTCTTTCCCACTTTCGAGATATAAAGCGTCAAAGATGTAGCATTCCGGCCCCTTATGGCCCCTTTTTATGTAACATACGATATAAAAATCATAATATATAGTTGTAGATCGTTGAGATAATTATTTTTTTTTCAGTAATGTATAACAAAATATTGACTGTTAAAGAGTTATCGATTAAAGACGTTCGGCCCCTATCGGCCCCTAAATTTGAGTGCCCCTTTCTATTAATCTTACCTTAAAGCGCTCAGGATCTGGAACACTTTTGGTTCAACAGCTATTCAGAGATTCTTTTTCGTTTCCGAGATATTTGCAAAAGAAATATTTAGGGGCCAACCGCTCAGCTCCTTAATGGGGGCGTTTATCAAAAATTGAAATGGGCGGTTATGTCAGACTGGGTTGTCGGGCTTGCATATACAAATTATTTTTCCCTACCATGGTAGCGTGAATTGTCTTTTATGTTTGTTTGCTAAATCAGGGTTTATATTAGAATATTTTCATACACGTGTGCCATTGCGGACTTCATTTAGACGATTAAGCATTTGTCCACGAACCTTTTGGACAACCCTCTCTTCACAAAGCAACTTTTGATGTATTTTTCATTTATTGTTAAAATAAACTACAAGACAAATGCAGTGACACTGGTAAATGTAATAGAGAATAATGTTTAAAAAAAAGAACTCAATGCTTTGTCATATAACCTTGTTTACTCTTTTTCCCCCAGACATTTTGATTATTGAAATGACCTTTCTGACCCATTCATTATTCACATGATTTTTACGTTTTCTTCCTTTTCCCCTTAAATTCTGACATGTATTTAATTCTGCCACGTTTTAATGGCTTTTAAATTACCCAATGATTAAGAAACATGTTACGCGCAGATAATAATCATGTTCAATAAAGAAAATAAATAATTTATTTCCACAAAGCAATTTTTGATGTGCTTTTTGATAGTTAATTACAATACAGTGCAATTACATTTCTGCAATGACAATAAATTACCTGGTATGTAATGGTGAATAATGTAAGAAAAAAGCATGTACTATAAAAGCAGGTTTAATTGTCAGAATTGTACATTCTTGTGAATCGACCTGTCTAATCCAACGATTATTCACATGGTATACACGTTTTTCGTTTTTGCTACATTTCTGATATATATTTAATTATGCCACGTTTTTAATAGCTTTTAAAATTCCTCATAATTGAGAAACTTGTTTCTGAGGGAGCATTACTGTAAAATCACATTTCGTTGGGTCAAATTTTCGAGATTTGAGGAAAAAAAATATTGGTTTATGGGGATTTCGTGGTTGGAAAATGTTGAGTAGTAATGCACTTTCTGGTGGTCATAAATTCGAGGGTCTCTACATACCTCGAAAAGGACACAATTTGAAATCCAACGATAATTAATGATTTCGTAGTAGTTTGTTTTCTGTCAAAATACGTTACCTAGTTTGATATATGGAAATCAATACATTTCGCTAAAAAGGAAACAAGGGATTAATCAAGCCGACAACTTTGAAACTAGTCATATGCGAGTTTGTGTGTAGACAATATAAAATGTTTCAATGAATGGTTTTTCTGAATTTATATGAAAACATATCAATTTTTTTTTTATTCCTTGTGTTGAGTGTCGGTCCTTTGACATACTGCAAAACTCATGTTTCCTCATGGTATCAAAGTTTGGTCATCTTAAAATTTTGCTGTTTTTAAATGAATAGTTATTTTATGGTTAAGAAATAAGAATTACAATCATGTAGGGTTCAATTTTTACATTTATTGAGGACATACTAGTGATGAGTCACCTTATACCAAGAAGAGCAAAAACTTAACCTCATGCAAGTTAGTGAGTAAACAGTTTTTGGTAAATACAATTTCATGTTAAGAACTTAATTGTTTTTAGGTCACCTAAGTTTGCTACATGTATCTTTTTTCGTCCGCCGTCGTTTGTCGTGCGTCGTTCGTCGTGTGTTAACATTTGAACATTTTCAGCTTCTTCTCTGCAACCGCTCAACCAATTCCAACCAATTTTGGCACAAAGCATAAATGGGAAAGGGGAACAAAAATTGTGAATTTTATGGTTCCTGTCCCCCTTGGGCCTGAGGGGTGGGGCCAAAACCACTAAAATTATTGCAATCTTTAAAAATATTTTTCTTTACTCCTGAACACCAAGTAGTTAAACTGTTGGCATGATTGTAATCAGCACTGAGTCCTCTACCAAAATTGTGAAATTCATGGCCCCAGGGTCAGGGGTTCTAGTGCTAGGTTGGGGTTGAATAGATTATATATTGAAAATGCATTAATTCTTTGAAAATCTTCATCTCTGCTCCTAAGCATTAAATAAACTAAGTACAAAGTTATGTTGAGTAAGGCTGCCTCACCCAAAATTACCAATTTCATGGCCCCAGGGTCAGGAGTCCTGGTGTTAGGGCGGGCTCTATTGATTATTTAGTGAAAATACATTAATTCTATAAAAAATCTTCTTCTCTGCTCCTGGGTATCAAACAAATTGACCAAGTACATAGTTATGATGAGCAGATATGTCCCTTTTAAAATTGTGAATTCCATAGCTCCTGGGTCAGGGGTTCTGGTATTAGGGTGAGGTTCTATTGATTACACAGTGAAAATACATTAATTCTTTGAAAACATTCTTCTCTGCTCCTTGGTATTAGATAAACTAACCAAATACATGGTTCTGTTGAATAAGGCTGCCTGTTCCAAAATTGTGAATTTAATGGCCCTAGGGTCAAGGGTTCTGGTGTTAGGGCGGATTGATTATATAGTGAAAATACATAAATTCTTTAAAAATTCCCCCCTCTGCTTATGGGTATTAAACCAATGAACTATGAACATAATTATGATGAGGAAGGATGTGTCTGGGTCAGGGGGTCACATGTAACATGTAGTTAATATGCATGGATTCTTTAAAAATGTTTTCCTTTGCTCCTAGGTATTATTCCAATGATCTAAGAACACTTTTATACTGAAGAAAGGTGCCTCATCCAAAATAGTCAATTTAAGGGCCCCTGGGTCAAGGGTACCGGTAGGGGGTAGAGAGTTTGAAAATAAATTAATCCTTTGAAATCTGCTTTGTGGTATTATTCAACCATTCATGATGAAATAAAATTTATGATAAAATTTTCTAAATTTAAAAATATATGGCCCCTTGGTCAATGGTTCCTGTGGGGTGAGGTGCACAACTGGTGTATTAAAGTGGAAATGCATTTTCTCTTTTTTACTCTGATCTACCTCTGGGTATAAAGTAACCAAAGTTAGCATGCTAAGCGTATAATTGTTATAAACAATGGTGTCTGTTTCAAAATTGTGATTTTCATGGCTTTTTGTTTAAAACACGAAGCAAATACAGTTGTTGGAAAGATGAATGATACTCAGATGATCTATAAGACCCGTGGGCCTCTTGTTTTCTATTAAATTCAAAATTAACAATCATTGTATGAATGGATAACTGTTGATGTGTGTAAGATGAAACAGAAATCCTGGGAATTTCCATTATACAACAGGTAAATCTGTTTAATTGACCAGGTGGACAATGGAAACTCCTAAGACTTGTGTTCCAAATTACACAAATCAAGATTTCTCTATTTAAAAAAAAAAAAACAATTCATACACTGTACTTATATGACCTAAAAAGAACTGATGTCTGAGGATTGAGCATTAGCCTTATTCAGCCTAAGAAATTTCCTTCCAGTAAATACTGTACTTAATTTGATTACTGAAAAAAAATGGAAGTGCATAAATTGTCGTGATTGCTTCATCCAACTCGACAAGACAACTTTATTCTGGGATGAACCTCCATTATGCTCGGCTTCTTTTGAATTCCGTGTTAACCCCCACCCTCAACCCACCCTCTTACTTTCTATTTTGTGCATCTCTCAATACTTTTGAAGGATACATGTAACGTCGATCTAAAATAATGAAAAATCGTTTTAAAAATCAGTTATATAAAATTGTTTTTAAATTTTTCAACCTGTTATTTCTGAAATTTCTTCATTTTTTTAATCAAGTAAACAAATTGCTCAAAAACAGCTTCATTTTATCATGATGCGCGAAATATTAGGCAATGGAAACCCCAGTCGCCCTCCCCCCTTTATATCTACACAAATTATTTTGTTCAAGCTGGAATGAGGCAACGTATGCCTTATCAACCGCGAATCGGTTTGTTAAAAAAATTGTCTGTCCCTACCAAGGTTAAACCAGTATAAATTTGGTAGCTTTTAAATTAATTTCTTCTGATCAAATTTCCTATTATTAGGTGTAAAAAAAAATAAGACATTTTCTCCTTCATAAATACCTTCTAACTGCACCTATTGTAAATCTAACATCAAGCTTATTAGCATGTTTTTGACGTGTCATGGTGACGTAGTCAACACAGATAGTACATGTACGATATTGTCTACTTTTCTACCCAATCAAATAACGCGATTCAACCGAAGTTAAATTATTTACCGATGTCGATACTCCTTGAACGGGTATTTAGAAGTTACAATTTCAGAAATATACTGCCTTTAAATTGGTATGAAGAAATGTTTAGAGACTGTCGATTTCTAGTTTTAACAAGAAATTAGCAGTCACATCAAATAACTCCACAAAAAATGAAAAGACCATTTTGTCGGTGATATAGACGTCTGCACATTTCATTTCTCGAGGGCATTTGTATTTGCATTAAGAATACATGTACTTTAAATTTTTAGTTGAAGTGGGAGCTACACATGTAGCGTTGACATAAAGATTTAGCATTGGTATTTGATCCTTGCAACTTTAAAATTTTAAGGAAAGTTTGTAAGATGTGAGTGGATAAATCGCATTTACTTGGATATGCAAGAAGAAAAAAGAAAAGCAGAAAAGGTATTTGTAGATTAATGCAACTATTTGCAAAACTTTGATGACAATTTTGTTGGCGTTTTTTCTTATTAAGGTAAGTCACTCGTCAAATTTGTTAAATGAAGGATTTTTTGGGAAGTATATTTTAATTAAGTACTCATATAGTATGCCTCAAAATCGCAGAGAAAATAGGGGTTCAGTGTGCATCTTACTGATAGATCTATGGTACAATTAAGTTGACCTTTTTGCACTTAAACATTAACTCTTTGGTAAATTACTTTATCTCTAATTTTATTTTATCAGATGTTACTACGTTAATAAATTTAATCTTATTTTACATAAAATGGTTTGAATAATATTTATCATTGAACAAATCTTGCAAATTTATGCGCGTTTATTATTGTGTGACCTTTTTGCACTAAAAATAACATATTTGGGGTATTAAAAAACTAAATAGGCAATAAAATATTTTCTTATATCAAGCTTTTCAGGAGTTAAGTGCTGATCAGTCACAAGTATCGAGTAGTTTAAAATAATGAAAGAAAAAGTTGGGGTCAGTGATGTTAATTTTGAAATATTGGTCAAAATATGTGATTTTCAGGCCAAAAATTGTGTAAATTTTATCTTGACTTCTTTAATATATCTTCATTTCCTGGCAAAGTTTGTTGAGGGAAGCTGTAAAACTTGTTCTAAAAATATAAATTAAGACCTATATTAAATATTCCTGCAATATCATAACGGAAAATATTCTCCGAGTAAAAGTATGTGAGGCTAAAGTTTCAAGACATTAAATTTAATAAATGTGCAGATTTGCAGAAATTTCTGCTGAATATCCTTCCACCACAAGAAATAGTCCCTCATAAATCTTGCTTCTTTGTAGATTTTTAAGCAGTTTTTTCGATGAATGTTAAAAAAAATTACATATTTGAATATAAATGTTTTATAAAAATTGAATTTTAATAAATATTTTTTAAGTAAGAGGTTCTGCGTGAACTTTTCTAAAAAGCTGAGGAGTGACTTACCTTAATTATATAATTATGGAAGATTGGGTATTTGCTCAATGAAAACTCAGAGTAAAAAAAATAATAATAATGTTTTATTTTACTTTCATACTTCTTTTAACAGGAGAACTTAAAAAAAACAACTTCAACACCAAAATGGTTTATATTAGATTATTTGGATAATTTGCATCAATCGTGTCATTGATCATTACTTATAAAATGTTTGTCTTTTGCCTTGCATATTATTTTGTTTGTCTTTAACATAACTGACATTAAGTTAATCCTATTTTTTCATAAGTATTGGAAAGCAAAACCTTTGAAAAGGCATTTAAACAAATCAAAGAAAATCTTCAAAACGCTGGCTGCGTGTAAGTATTAAAATGGAAATATATTCACTAAATATTATTCAGACTAACAATTTAAATATAAATATATGAGAAATAATGCTGTTTTTTTAAAGGGGGGTGTCTGTATTATACATCATTACAGAACAAAAAATAAAAAGCATTACCTGGTTTAAATTCATTAATGAAATTAAAGAAGTTGATTTAATATATTTATTGTTCGAAAACAAACATTTTAGCTTTTTAAAATGGATAGGACCAGTGTGATAAAATACATTAATTCTTAAATATTAGGAAATTGCATAAATATGACTATTTTTTCGTTAATTTATTTACAATGTACACATTTGAATAATTCAATTTCAGTAATATTAATCAGGATGCTCTCTACGTATTTACACTGTGGATCGATTATATAAAAGAACTGAAAAATGAAAACTCAAGAATTGAGACAAAAAATACAAATTATTCCCGGATAGACAATCTGTTCCAAAATCTAAATAAAAGGATAGAGGTAGGTTTTTAAATTCGATAAACTCTTTAATTTTACTTTTTGAAGAAAAAATGTAAACTGAATGTTGACAAAGTCTTATGTGCATCAGAAGTGTTTATAAGCCTTTATTCCAATATTTCAATTTTTGTGTGAGCTTATTATCATCAATTTCACAAGAAAAAATTGTAATTATTCAAGTATATATTAATGTATTTGTGCATTCCCCGAAAGATAATAAATAAGTATATCTTGCTTTTCATTCCCATTTTTTACTTCGAAAAAAAATTATTAACCGGCATTTTTTATTATTATTATGCTCCCCAAACGAAGTTGGGGAACAAATGTTTTTTTCTCTGTTTCTTATTATGTTCCCCAAACGAAGCTGGGGAACATATTGTTTTTACTCTGTTTCTTATTATTCTTGTTATTCTTAGGTTTCTTTTCCACTTCAGCGGAAGACCTTCTTGTTATTCTTCGGTTTCTTTTCCACTGTTTTTAGGGTCTTCCGTCTTCAGCAGAAGACCTTACTGTTATTCTTAGGTTTCTTTTCCACTATTTTTATTATTTTTGTTTTTTTCCTACCGATTTTGTGCACGCGATTTCTCGTAAACGGCTCTATCGATTTTCATGAAACTTTCAGTTTGATAGAACATCAAAAAATCTAGATACATTTTTTTTTTGATGACGTCACTTCCGGTTTGGAGTTTTTAGCGATTTAGTAAATTTTAGAGGGTCACTTTGTTCGGCAGTTTTCTGAAAAAAAAGCACTTCACACAGAAGCATGACATTTTCAGTGATGCTAGAGCAACCTCTGGAGAAGTGTATTTGGTATATCACAACCACCGGAAGTACGAAGCGCCGACGCTCTCTATGGCCCAATAATAGTCCTATGGTGAATTTCAAAATTTCTAACCCCTTTTCTTCGATAACTTCTTACCTACAAATATCTTGTTAAATCATATAGAAAAAAGAAGTGTAGAATTTCAAGATCTTTCAAATGATATATCGAAAAAAGGGCTGACCCCTAAATTTAGGGATCTAGAGGGGCCAGAATTTTTTTCCTGATATCTTTAAAAGTATTAAGAATTTGTAATACGTCAAAGAAGAAAAGTTGTTTTTAATGTCATGCGCAATCTACTGGTGTCGACAAAATACGTCCAGAGACGTCCCTTCCGGTCAAACCGGAAGTAGTCAGAAAATGCATATTTTACCGTTATTGACATGTTTTGTGTAATATATGTCACTGGAAGCATAAAACATAATTTTCCGTCCTTCAGCGTCACTTCCGGTCAAACTGGAAGTAGCAAAAATGGCTTATATTTGCAATAATTAACATAGATTTGGAGGATTTAAACCATTTTGAACGTCATCGCTCATTTTTCTGAAAAAATGAAAGTTACTTCCGGTCTGACAGGACGGAAGACCTACTCGTTGCTTTGCAACGGGCTTTGCTCTAGTGAAGGTCTTCCGTCCTCAGCGGAAGACCTTCTTGTTATTCTTAGGTTTCTTTTCACTTTTATTAAGGTCTTCCGTCTTCAGCGGAAAACCTTCTTGTTATTCGTTGGTTTCTTTTCCACTGTTTTTCTTATTATTTTTTTTCTTACTGATTTTGTGCACGCGATTTCTCAAAAACGGCTGGTTAGATTTTTATGGAACTTTCAGGTCTGATAGAACATTAAAAAATCTTGATGCATGTTTTTTTTATTTTGATGACGTCACCTCCGGTTCGAAGATTTTCGCAATTTTGTGATTTTTAAAGGTCAGTTTGTCCGTCGCTCTTCTTTAAAACCGCTCATCACAGGAAGATGAAGCTTTTCGCGAAGATAGAGCAACATACGTAGATTTGCAATGTGTTGTTAACTTTCACCGGAAGTACTGCACGTTAACGCTCGGTATGGTCTCAAAAAAAGTCATATTAAGAGTTTCAAAATTTTTAATTCTTTTTCTATTATATCCTTTTACTTGTAAATATTTTGTTAATACATATAAAACAAAATTTGTGTAGAATTATAAGATCTTCCAAAATATATCTCGTAAAAGGGGCTGGCCCCTAAAATAAGGGATCTAATGGGGACAGAATTTTTTTCCCGATATCTTTAAAAGTATTGAAAATTTGTATACACCAAAGAAGCAAAGTTGTTCAAAATGTCAAGCACGATCAATTGGAATCGTCAAAATTCGTCCGGCGACGTACTTTCGATCAAACCGGAAGTACTCAGAAAATGCGTATTTTTACTGTTTTTACAAGTTTTTGGGTAACATTTGTCACGGGGAGCAAAAAATATAATTGTCCGTCCGTCGTCATCACTTCTGGTCAAACCGGAACTAGCAAATCTGGCTTATTTTTGCATTAATTATCATCCATTTTTTGGGCGTTATTTCTCATCTTTGTTTAAAATGAAAGCTACTTCCGGTCAAACAGGACGGAAGACCCACTCTTTGCTTTGCAACGAGATTTGCTCTAGTTATTATTATTGTTTTTTATTTTTTTTTACCGATTTCGTGCACGAGATTTCTCGAAATCGGCTCGATGGATTTAGAAATTAGGCACAAGAAAGGGAGTTGGGGAGCGTTTGGGGAACATCTGTAACGGTCCCCGTTAAAATTGACACTAGTTATTATTTTGATTTGCTTGAGATAAAATATTTTTTTCTATGAGCAATATTGCCCATCTACATTTTGTCATTAAATGTTGAAAGTGACCATTTAAATTCCAGTTACTAAGCCTTGTTAACACATTCAATTGATGACTGTACCTGTTATCAAACATATTAAGTATGTTAAAAATTAATGCCAAATTTGATTTAGCTTTCAATTAAAAAAGAAGAAAAAACATTATGGTAAACCTGTTTAATGGAGAAAATGTGCAAATTAAATTTTAATAAAGACCGTGTCATTAATTGTTTAAATGAGCAAGGTTTATCAAAGGAAATATGTTATTTATTGTCGTTAAAAAAAACAAATATATATGCAATGTTACATTTTATTATTATTATTTTTTTTTTTTTGAAAAAATAATTGCCTCCTGTTTGGCCTTTAGAAGAAAAAAGTAAAGGAATTTAAAGAATGTTCATGAAATAAACTTTTTTCAGTTTTAGATTTCCAAATCAATTGCCATTTTCTCAATAGCTTTCATCTTTTCAGATGTTAGAGATGCAATGGAATGTCTCGTGGAAAGAGGATTAATTCATATGAGAACATTTGATGGTCGTGTTCCTCTTATGAAAGCTTGGTGATTCATTTTTTTTATAAACAGGGATAGATATTTTAACTCAAATTTAAAATGACTACATGTATAGGCCGTATATAATTTACAAGATATATCAAATGAAAGTATGAATCAATACTTTGTTAATAAAGTTATTTACCACGAGTAAATTTACTTGGTCACTTAATTTTTCATTTAGTGCAATTATTGTACTTATGGAATTAAAAAGCACCAACACTGCAAAACTTTTTGTCAATCCTGCTGACGAATTTAGAGAATAAATGCTATTTTGTCAAATCAAATTGCATATCTCTAAATTTTGAGATTTATTTCAATTGAATTTACTACAATGCGTTTGACTCCTGTTATAGACTGAAGAAGATTAATCAGGATTTCCACATGCAGTTAACTTTTTTCTCTCAAAGAATATGACATGGAAAAATTGATGAAAAGAATGAAAATGATCACAAGAATTAGGAAAAGTACAAATTATCGTCAATTAAATCCTTAGCAGGATTATGGCCTTCAATGTTTGTTCTAAGCACACTTTTTTCCTCAATGAGTTATTGTCAGCCATTGTAATTCTAACACCATGTTGTTACTTATCAAATTAATTGCTACTCGAGAGCAGCCACAGCAGGCTTTTACCAGGGTCTTTATCAGCCTCGTTTAAAAGTAGCATTTTGAAAATACTACAGTTGTTATACATGTAATGACCCTATAAGCATATTTATTTACTTATTACTGGATCGTGTATTGTCTGATTTGTATCATATTCTTTGTTAAGCCTTTGTTTTGTATTAACTTTGACTATGGAATGTTTCGTCCCCTTGATTAATACATAGGAACGGTCAAAATTTTAAAGTGTTGCCTACTCCCCCTGTGCTAGATCCCACCTCCTGAATTTCCAAGTAGTCTCTCCATGTTCTTTTCACAAATAAGTATTGTTTGTCTTTTTATAACATCAATCATTGTTTGTTATTTTCTCTCCTCTCCATTTACGGAAAAAGATATTTAAATTCAACGTATAATTTAGAAAATGCAACGCCATGAGTTCATTAATTTACCTGTATGTGTTCAAAGTAATATTTCAGAGTTGGCATTTCAGTACAAGTATTATATTTTTCAAGATTAACAAGGATTAATCACTGTAAACCAATGGATTTACATCATGCATCCAATTTTTACCACTTTGATGGCTACATTAAAGTCGTGGCTTGCGACGAAGATTAAACATTTCATGTAATTATTAAATTACAAATGAATTAAATTTGTGAAGACAAGGAACAGTATTCGAGCTCAAAAGCTCATTAAACATAACAAAATAGGGAAGGAGCAAACATGAATAAAAAAAAAAGAGTTGGGATCAGCCGCGAATAACGGAAATAACAGAAAATTCCTTGGACAACTCAGTGTGTGAATAATGGCCTAACAATTCATATGAAAAAGTCAGCCGCCTAAAGTAATTTATAGACGTGAAGTTCAATAGCGTTCATTTCTACTACATGTATTCTTTATTTTTAACATATTTCAATTTTAATTGAGATCTGGAGATTTAATAAGTAATTAAATGAGAAAAATTGGATAATTTTTTTTAGTAATTAAATATCATATTTATCAACTAAAATAAGTTTGAGCTATTGTGAATTGTTTATTCAAGTTATAGATTCACTGTTGTACATACTAAATGAGGTTTATTCATTTTATTCATTAAAATCACAAATGGATATCTCTCTGTTATAGCCAGAAAGTGCATTTAAAAATGAAAAATACATTGGAAAAAATATAGTTAACATAATCTCGTTTACTTTAAAATCGCAACTTCAAGAATGAATATTCAGTATCCTTGAATACAATTAATATGAATTCTAACGAGATCGAGATAATACATTAAATACTTCGAAAAAAAAATTGCTTTTAAAACATCTCAATTTATCACATGGATTATTCTATCGATTTTCTGCCTTTTAAATTTGTCTGTAGAAGAAACACTAACTTTCTCCTTGAATTCATTCCTGTTGAAAATTTATCAACAAATACATTAAATACTGTCAAAATTATGCGATAATCATATCATTTTTGGATTTTTTTATTTTGTTCTTCCGTGAAAACCTTATGAATATAATCTACTTGCATTTATCTCAGTCATTCTGGTAGAGTTTTATTATGTAAAAAATTGTATGTCCTACTTAACAGAATACCTGATTTCTTAATTTAGTATATCTGACAATACCATGCATCATGATTTTCAAATGAGGAGAAAAAGGCTATAGTTCATGGAAATATTTTATATTTCCTAAAACAAGGGTTGCTGAAAAATTTAGATTTAATTTATTAGTCATGATTCAAAGCATCACAAGTGAAGAAAAACAAGATTAGTTTAAAGTTTGAAGCTTATTGTTTTAAACATTCTAAATGGCAAAAGTAAAAATTCCTTATTATTCCGCAAATTTGTTTGGATTTAACTTTAAGATCAAGAAGTTTAATGTATTTGATAGTCACAAAAAAATTCTTTCACAAAGATTAAACATGTGAAATATAAAAGCCAAACTCGTATTAAGAAAAAGTTATTGGAAGGTTAATTTTTGGCGGAAAGACAAATAATTAGATAGAGAGCTAGACAGACAAACAGATAGACAAAATAAAACTATATACATTTAAACGTTTAATTACTGATGAATTCGCTTCTTTCTGGTTCAGAACACATCAAAAAATTATTAAAAAAAAAAAAAAAAAAAAAAAGTAGGAAAAATCTTAAATGGATTGCATACTTAAGTTCATATATAATTATCTTTATTCGTGCATTTTTTTAAATACCCATCTATAAAAATAATAGCAAAATAAAATAATAATAGAATTATATCTAAATAGATATAAATAAATAAACATAAATAGGAAAAAAAAGAGAAAACATTTATGCTTTTTGTAAAATGTCTGGTTTCTATTAAAGTATGCGCACTATTACAATATGCATATTACAATAAGCAGAAGAGAAAAATCTTATAATAGTGATTCTATTGACATTTATATTCTGAAACATAATGAAAATGCAAATTGGAACGACATTTACACCTATTAGAACTAGAGGAACAGATTGATGAAGAAGACTGGTCACCACGAGATGTTAATTGTGATTCAATGCTTCCAAAAATCAATTTATATTGCAAAATTGTTCCTGGACTGTTTCTGTGTGCATTAATTTGATAACAACCACAGCGATTTATTCAGTTTGATCAACACATAAGTAAGGTTCACGACAGGAGAGATCGATCAACAGGGTTTGTTCCTTCCTCCTAGGCACCTGATCCTACATGTACCAATGGTATTTCCAAAAGTCCTTGTTTATGCCCAGTTTACAGGTTTGATATTTTTCTTAAATTTTTATTCTATCGAAAGTTTGTTATCATCACGTATTTATCATTTTTGAATATTGCATAAATTAATGTTTTTCATTTCATTCCAATGAATACAGAAAAGAGCATGCCGTATGTGTACTTTTAATTTTATCTGACATTTTTCTTTAACATTTTTAAAGACGTTACATAACCATATCTTGGCGGGATCATAATCAACTTCATTCGGATTCAGTTTATTAAAAGAAACAATGTCAGTAACAGCTTCAGTTTATCAAAATTGCAATTGACATTTACGATGCAATTTATGTTTGTAATTAAAAAAAAATATATGAAAATAATTTATTGTTAACATAAATACATATTAAATACATCAAAAAAAAAAAAAGAAACAGAAAAGGGGAGAGGTTTCCTTTACATAATTATGTGTAGTTTAAAAAAACCAATTAAATTCAAGATTCTTATTCAATTTGAGATTTCTTCTCAGTTTATTAGATAAGTATATTGTGTCTTCTAGTTATAATTGATGTTATATGACTTCTGAGTTTTTTTTAATGGACGAGTTCATTGACATAAACACATTATTATCAACAAGGACATCAACCATGTAAATAAATGGTGATCGTTTAAGGACAATTTGCTATGTGCTTATTAGGTTTAATAAGTTATTATGCCAGAATTTTTACGTTTTAGGATATCCGATCCTCAGCCAGGAAGGATAACTCCAAAAATTAACATTTAATTTGAAATGCATCAAAATGAAGCTTGAAAATGAAATTTTTTCATGCAACAATTTTTATTTTATTCATCTTTATAAAATTCAAGGTTTTTGGAAGACTTATAAAAGGTCTTACAAAAGTCGACATTTGTACCCTGTAGCAAGAAAAAAATTAATACAGTTTCAGAGAAATAAGATTTTCTTGACTCCAGACTTATATACCAGTGCTTATTAGCATGAAATGAAATAATGATTTGTGGTGTCATGCAATATTAGCAAAAGCCGTTTACATTATGTATTATAGAATACATGACGGAAATAGATACCAAATAAGTATGAAAATCATGACAATTTCTCTGAATGCCTGGAAACCTATCGTTTTTTAAACCTAAAATATATTTGTTGATCAATTTACAATTACCAAATGCATTGCTTATATTCCAATTCGCTTTTTCTGCAAAAAAATTGGAGATTTGAAAATTTTTCCTATATAAAATGATTAACTTTAATCTTTAACTTTAAAGAAATATTGTGGATAAACTTACATAATTTTGTGGATTAAGAGATCCTTTTATGAGTATTTTTGATTACTTAACTGCTAATTTTATAAACCTGAGGATCGGACTCCCTTAAAAAAAATCTTCAAATTCATGGCTACGGCCAATTCTGATGTTTTCACTGATTTTAAATTTTTTTCTATTTTGTATGTCCTTTTTTTAATTCATGTGAGAGCTGAAAGAAATTGTTAGTTTTATTAAAATATTTATATATACAGTGAACACTGTCTAATCCGACACCTGAATAATCCGACACACTGTGAATTCCGACGTTAAATTTCTTTACCATTTGAGTATTTCCTTGTTTTTAACACTCTGCAATCAGACACCCTGTCTATTCCGACACAAAATTTGTCTCCCAGTGCATGTCGGATTAGACAGGTTTCACTGTATATTAAATAAGAAATGATACTGATTTCCTTCTTTTCTATACAAAAAAAAAAAAAACGTGTTATCCAATATATCTGTCAATTTCATTAGAATATGAATTGAGACAAATAAGTGAAATAACCTCAATTTTAAAGTTTTTAAACATATATAAGGTATGTTCAACTAGGATTGAGCGACCTCCAGAGATATGTACTTTTACCCACTGGGGTTTTATGATATGAAAACTACAAAAAAGAAAATCAGTATATCATATATCACTAACATTGATTTCAGAGTAATTACCAGATTTAGGGGAAATCTATCTTCCAGGTATTTTTAGGGACCGTTTCAAAAT